CTTTACACTGAGCCTCAATCCATATTGAAGGCTGCAGTCCTTGACCCTCTGCAGCAAGCACTTCAGGTCCTCCTCAGTTTCAGCAAGCAGTGTTGTGTCATGTGAATAATGCAGATTGTTGATAGATCTTCCACCAATCTTGACCCCACATTTCTTCTCATAGAGCCCAGCCTCCCGGATAATCTGTTCTGTATACAGGTTGAAAAGGTATGCAGATAGGATGCATCCCTGGTATACGCCCTTCCTAATTTTGAATCATGCAGTGTTTCCTTGCTTTGTTCTGACGACTGCCTCTTGGTTTAAGTATAGGTTTCTCATTAGCCCGATCAAGTGTTCTGGTATTTCCATTCTTCTCAGAGTCAGCCACAGTTTGTTATGATCCACACAGTCAAATGCTTTTGCATAGTCAACGAAACACAGATATACATTCCTCTGGTATTCCCTGCTTTCAGCTAAGATCCATCTAACATCAGCTACAATGTCCCTAGTACCATGACCCCTTCTAAACCCAGCCTGGACTTCTGGAAGCTCTCCGCTGATGTGCTGTTCCAGTGCTTTTTGGATAATCTTCAGTAGAATCTTGTTTGCATGTGAAATCAATGAGATTATTCTATAGTTTCCACACTCTGATGGGTCACCTTTCGAACTGTACCATAGGTGTGTCAAATACCATAAGGGTTACCCATCATGGATAGTGTTTGGAGGAGCTTTCAGATTGATTCAAGTTTGGAAGCAGGAGTGGTATCCACTTCCTAAACCATATGCCTCTAGAAGCTCTATGAACATAGAGAAATGATAGTAGTTAAAGAAAAGGGTTCAGGTCTTTTGTTCATAGGGTCGCTATGAGTCATATTCTACGTGACAGCACTTTACCTCTGCTAAGTGACACTAATGTTGTTATATTTTGGAGGAACATTCTTCTAAGTTGTGTATTACTCCTCTGTCAATTTGCTGTCCTGAGGTAATTTGGGTTTGCTGTGATGCTGTGTGTTATTGGGTTGTCAAATGCCATAACAGTTTCCCGAGGTGAGCAGTGTTTGGTGGAGCTCCCAGATGTAAAACAGGTTTGGAAGCAGGAGTGTCTTCTACTTCTTAAATCACATGCCTATGGAAACTCTATGAACTTGGAGAGATGACCATAGTTATAGAAAGGCATCAAGTCTTTTGTTCATAGAATCACTATGAGTCATGCTCGACTTGAAGGCAATCAACAACAACACCACCACAATATAAGGTACATTTATCCCTATCAGAAATGTGCTAACCAGGAAAGTGAATGTTTTACATAAGTCATTTTTAAACATAAAGCCATGTTGATGTCAGCTACCCTCACTGGACTGTGGGAGAAGAGCTGTGCGTTTGCTTTTGACTTGGCTACTTACTCACCAAAGATATGCGGTTCAAATCTACAAGCTGCTCTGAGGGAGAAAGATGGGCAATCTCCTCCTGTGGGATTTACTGCCTCTGAAAACCCACTGGAGGGTCAGCTATGAGTCAATTCCAACTTGATGGTATAAACAATAACAACCACTTACTCAGTTGAGCCATGAAAGACCCTGATATATTTTTTTAAATATTTGTAATTCAGGACACATTTTTTCTTTTTGAAACTAAAATAGTTCCTTTTTTTCTTTAGTTTTTAGTTGAGTTTTACATTTGTAAAGTGATTTGCCATTGTTTAGGGTGTCCTAAGGGAGCCCTTGTGGTGCAGTGATCAAGTGCTTAGTTGCTAACTTTTAGAACACTCACCAGCGCTCGACAGGAGAAAGATCTGGCACTCTGGTCCTTTAAGACATAGCCTGGGAAAGCCCAGGGGACAATCTCCCTCTGTCCCATAGTGTCCCTGTCCCATGAGTTGGGAGTGACTCAGTGGCAGAGGGTTTGATTTGGTTTGCTGACGTTGTTAGGTATTGTTGAGTCAACTATCACGCAGCCATCTGTGAACAGCAGATCTCAACCTTGCTCTGTCCTGCGCCATCGCTGACATGCTCAAGACCATTGTCACAGTCACTGTGCCAACCCATCTTGTTGAGAGTCTTCCTCTCTTTCTCTGACTCTCCACTTTTCCTAGCATGACATGTTTTGAGAGTACCTTAATTTTAACCCAAACATTCAAGTTTGGTTTTCATTTTATATCTGCAACTACTTGCAAATGGTACAGCTGTTGGTGTCACCATTGACTCTTTGAAGTAATTTTGTTTCTTGACTAAATTATCAACACTAAATTATCATCCTTATTTTAAAAAGAGTGTGTTTCATACAGATGGAAAGTTTGGATTTTGGTCCAAATTAAAATCTAAAAATTTCCGCATCCATAATCGTAAACGTATGACAGCTTGATCTATTAACAGGCATAGCAGGCTGTGTCTTAGGGATCCAGAATTCTTCTACAGAGATTCCAGACAATTATAAGGAGAAACTAGAGTTAATTGAGTAAATAGGAAGAGTCTTGATCACACGTGAATTCCCCTCTCCCCCTTTCCGCCTTTCACCTGGAGATCATCAGCTTGGGGTCTCCATCAGTGGTTTGTCTTTGCCTGGGAAGGGCAGTGGTAGTGGCCGCTCATGTTGACGGTCTCTGGAACATGGAGCCCTTATTCCCCTGATAGAGTGAACCCCATGATGATGCAGGCAGCCAAATGGGACTAACAGAGTTTTAAAAAGAAGTATGCCAACAGACATGGAAAGAATATTAAGAAAAAGAAGGAAAAGAAAACTACATATAAGTAAGGAGATAAGAGCAGAGAGATATGTAAATTAGATGTGACCCATTTTCCTCAGGTGAAAGAAAAAAAAAAAAGCACCAACCTTTCCTTCTACCATCTTAAAAGTACAATAACTTACTTTCCTTCAAGGGAAAAGTAAAAAAGCAATGCTGAGGCCTGTTACCTAGGAAGGTGTGTATTACACAAGCTTGTGAAGGGCAGTGAGTGCTACCTCACTCTCTGTTTCCAAGGGGAAAATGGGAACCTCCATGAATTTAGTTTCTCAGGGGTAATAGAGTTCAAAGGAGAAGAGTTGGTTGTGTTTTTTAACATAAAAATTTAGAGAGAGTCAACAATTTGTCAAGTACTTGGTTTACTGTGTCGGGGACACATGGTGGACATGAGTTGGAATCAGCTTGTGGAGAATTGGGTCATTTTGGAGGAGACACTGTGGATGGGACTCCTGTGGACATAGAACGTCTCGCAGCAGGGGGTCCAGGCTGCTGCACCCACACAGTCCTGCCCCCTAATCATCATGTCTCTACTTACTTCTTAGGAAAGAAATAATTTGCAGGACACAAAGTCAAGTCTGAGGAAAGATGACCTCCATTTTGAGTTGCTGGTTAAGCTGGTGAGTCAATTACAGGATAACGCACATTTTTCATCTGTTTTGCCCCAGACAGTGACACTTCCGTCTTTGTAATGGAGTCCTCTCATAGCCCCGGAGCTCTGTGGTGAGTCCACAGGGAGCCGGGGTGCTAACCCACAGGCAGGGCCTCGCTGGGGGGTTAAATCTACCAGCAGCTCCTCAGAAGAATGGTGGGCAATCTCTGCCCAGATGAATGGCGGCTTTCTGAAAACCCACTGGAGGGTCAGCCAAGTCAGCTCCTATTCAATGACAATCAATTTTTTAGTCCTTTGTCCTTAGATATTTAACCTACTGTTCTGTGAGGGGCTAGTTGGTGATACTAGGGACAGGTAGTGGTCCTCCAAGGTCTCTTTATCAGGGTTCTCTCTAACTCCGCATGTTACAACTAGCAAAGCCATCTCAGCGTTAGGGCCTGAGTGCATAGCTCCACTTCTTTGGAAGCCTAATGACTCTGAGTTGACTCAACTGCAGTGCATTTTTTTTTTTTTTGGTTTTTCAACTTTCAAGCTTCTTGAGCCTGCAAACCTTAGAGTCACTCTGCTTTTACTATGAACACTTAATATTTTTCTATAGGAGAGAAAGCTCCAGATGGACTCAGCAGACACACGAACCAGAGTTGCCAGGGAACTCTTACAGAGTGAGAGGAAGTACGTCCAGATGCTGGAAATTGTGAGAGATGTTTATGTAACTCCACTGAAAGCAGCACTGTCATCAAACAGAGCGATCCTGAGTGCTGCAAATATCCAGATTATCTTCTCTGACATTCTGCAGATTTTAGATCTCAATAGGTAACTCATTTTTTGAAAATATTCATTCTGTGGAAGGACACATATTTGTTCCAGGTGGTGCATCAGTCATCCCTGGCTCCTCCTGGGGACCTTACCTTTCCCCTATCTCAGGACCATGGTGAAAGTAATAGAGTTCAGTACCTGGAGAATCTGGGATCAGTATCCAGTACTCACAAAAATTCAGTGAGAGGGGCTGGTAAAGGAAATGGAAAAGGTCCAGTGTGAAAAACAAAGTATACAAACTTCGTAAATAAACCAGTATAAAATAAAAATTTTATTTTAAAAAAAGTCATTGGGATGGAGACTTGTATAGAGCTACTGTCTATCAGCAATATTTAGAAATTAGAAAGAAAAATCCAAAAACAACAGAAGGAGTTGACTGGATTAAGTCATGTGAGTGACGCTTAGAATACCCTAGACTAAGAGGCAACTTAATAACAGAATGTTTTGAGTTTATTACAGAAGAGAGAAAAAGTGATTCCTTCCAGTGATGGTAAAGGGAGGGGACTGAGCTTGCATTTCTGTGCTATTAACCAGCCGGGTAACTCAGAACAAGGTCCCCGTCCACTTTAGGCCTCAACAAATACACAATGAAGAGTTGAAGTAGGCTTTGTCCCACTCTCAAGGTCTGTGATGGCTAAAGGAGGGATTATCTTACATCTGAGGCAGTGATGGGCCGAAAAGGGGTCCTGACATTTGGTCATTGAAGAAATTGAACTCCTTCCTCTGCGGATGGCAAGAAATCTTTTCCTCAACAGCCTACATGTGGAATTGCAGTGCTCTGGGTAGTCCTCCAGAGGCCAGCCTGGGATTTAAGTTTCTATTTTCAAAACTATTCCTTTAGGTCAAGCAATTAAAATATAAAGGTGGGATTCCACCAGGCAACCTTTCTGTCACTTTCCTACTCCTGTCCCACTCATAGCTCTATGCCCAAGAAAGCAGTGTCTGACAAATGTTCTGTCTGCAAGGCTAAAAAAAAAAAAACCTCCACTGGTGGTTTACCAGCTGTGCTTGCTTAATATTTCTTTCTTTTTAACTCACTTTTTTTTGTTTGTTTCAGCTCAAGCTGTATTTCACAGCCATACTTTTCTTGCATTGCAGACAATTTCTAGATAACCTGAGAGAAAGACTACAGCAATGGGGTCCAGCGCAGTGTTTGGGAGAAATATTCACCAAGTTTGGAAGCCAGTTGAATACATACACCAATTTTTTCAACAACTACTCTGTTGTTCTGAAAACTATCCAGAAGGTAAGTGACTGAGTTACCAGTAAATCAGGAGATTAGACTTTGTGACTGGAAAGGAAGTTTGTGTGCCATTCCAAAGAGTATTTGTTTTAAGGTGCCATTGCCTTGATTCTGACCCATAGAAGTCCTATGTGCACAATAAATTAGAACCTTACTGTGTTCTGTGCCATCCTCAAACATGCCACTGTACTTGAGCCTTTGTTGCTGTCATTACAATGTATCTCTTTGGGATTCTTCCTCTCATTTGCTGACCTACCTTTCCAAGCATGACTTTATTTTCCAAGGACAGGCTCCTGTTGATAATATACATGCTCAGAGTATGTGGGACAAGTCTCACCATCTTTGTCTCTAGGGAGTAACTGACTGGATTTCTTCCAGAACAGTTTTGCTTGTTGTTTTGGATATCCTTTGTATATTCAACATTCTTCACCAACACAAAAATTCAAAGATAACAATTTTTTTCTTCATTTTGCTTTGTCCAATGTTCACATGCATATGAAGCAATTGAGAAAACAGTGTCTTGACTTGTCTTCGTCTTCAAATTGATATTATTCTTGCTCTTCAGCCCTTTAAGAAGGCTCCTGACAGGAGAATTTCCCTATGTGATACATTTTATCAAAATTTCCTGACTGTTGCTACTATGGATAATGATTGCGGATCCAAGTGACATGAAATCATAGGCGACTTTAACCTTTCCTCCATTTATCCTGATGCTGCCCACTGAGCCAGCTGTGAAAGGTTCTGGTGACCTCGTCGGTGAGGAGTGGCACTGCTAACTCAAAGGGGGTGTCTCTTTAGTGGTTTGACTCAAATCCCCCTGTGGCTCTGAGGGAGATAGGTGGATAAGTGCATCAAGTCCTTTTCACTTTCAGCAAACAAAGTTGTGTCATTTGCACATTACAGGTTGTTGTGTCTTCCTCCAATTATGATGACCATTTCTTCCTTATATAACCCAGCCTTTCAGATTATTTGCAGAGGATACAGATTGAACGGTTAGGGTGAATAGAACCAACCCTGATGCACACCTTTTCCTGATTTAAAACCCTTTAGTACCTCTATTTTCAGTTCATGTGATTGCTTCTTGAGCAGTATACAGGTTCTGAGTAAGTTCAATTAATTGTTCTGCAATTCCCATTCTCAATGTTATCCATGCTTTATTATAACTCACTTACTTGAATGCCTTTGCATAGTCAATAAGACAGTTCCAAACTTATTTCTCATATTCTCTGCTTTTGGCCAAGATCCATATGACATCAGCAGTGATAACCTCTATTCAAAGGTCTGTTCTGAATTCAGCTTGAATTTCTGGCAGATTTCGGTGGATGTACTTCTCTAGTCATTTTTTACAATTCTTCAGTAAGATTTTACTTGTACTTTGAATTAATGATGCTATTCCATAATTTCTGCATTCTGTTGGATCACTTTGGTTTTTGGAATGGGCATAAATATGGATTTCTCTGGTGACCTAGTGGTAAGAAGTTGTGCTGTGTTCACAAAGGCGTGCAGTTCAAATCCACCAGTCAATTGGAAGACAGCTAGCTACCTAGCCAACTGACTAGTAGAGATCTATAGTTGTGTTTGCTGAAACACCTCAACATATTGTCAAATCCTGGAGCCTTATTATTATTTTTTTTTGCCAATGTTTTCAGTGTATCCTGGACTTCTTCCTTCAGTACCGTTGTTCTTGATCATATTCTACCTTCTGAAATGGTTATGATGTAACCACTTCCTTTGACTGAATATTCTTTTGATCTCTTTTGACTGAATATTCTATCTTCTTTTGGTGGTTATTTTGGCATTCGGTATTTTGCCCTTAGAATCTTTTAGGATTACAACTTGAGGCTTTAATCCCTTCTCTAGCTCTTTCAGCTTGAGAAATAATGAACATGTTCAGCCTTTTCATTTTCTAACTCCATGGCTTTGTACATTTTCCTGTCCTTTTTGTCACTTTATCTTCTCTAACTGCCCATTGAAAACCTTTAGTCAGCTCCCTTACTTCAACTTTTATTTCACTTTTCTGTGTTCAAGAGTAAGTTTGAGTCTCATCTGACATCTATTATGTCTTATCTTTCTTTCTTGTCCTTTTAATGACTTCCTTCTCATGTGTATATCCTGGATGTCATCCCGCAACTCATCTCGTCTTTCGTCATTAGTGTTCAAGCATCAAAACTTTTCTTGAGACAGTTTTTCAAGTAGATAAAGTCAAGGTCATATTTTTGGCACTTTTGTATGTGTTTCCATTTTCTTTGGCTTCATTGTGAACTTGCACATGACCAGGGGATGGCACATTTCAGTCAGTCCCTGGTCTTGCTCTGACTACTTACATTGAGCTTCTCCACTATCTCTTTGCACAGAGATTGTTGATTGGATTCCTGTGTATTCCATCAGGGGAGGTCAATGTGTAAAATTGCCATTTATGAGTTTTAAAAAAGATATTGGCAGTGAATAAATCATTCACTGTACAAAATTCTATCATCCAATATTTGGCTTAAGATCTGTTTCTGAGACCATTTGTTCCAAGTACCAATCTATCTTCTTTATTCCAAAATTTTGCATTCTGGTCACCAATTATTATGAATGCATCTTGATTAGGTTCTCAATCAATATTAAATGGCAAATGGCAGAAACTCTCCATCTCTTCCTCTTTGACTTTAGTTGAGAATATGTATATTTGAATAGTAGTGATAGTAACAGGTCTTCCTTGTGTGTACATGGAGAACACTGTACTTTATGATAGATCTTTAAATGTTCTTTTTTGGCAATTAATTCAACACCATTCTTCTTCAATTTGTCATCCCTGCCATTGTGAAAATAACCCTGAAAAGGTCAAACTCATTATCATTGAGTCAGAATCAACTCATATCTTACTCTCCATCAGATTTTCATGAGGCTATAAATTGCCAAGAAAGAGATTTCCCCACTATATCACAGGGTGCCACCTTTGGTTTAGGAATTTCCTACAGACTGCCCCACCAGAGGTCCTTTTCCTGCCATACTAAATCACAAAATCATCTTATTCCATTCCAATTACAAATGCCAGTCCATTTCAGCCTACCCAAGCTTTTTGTAAATGCTTACAATATAGATGTTTATGTATTCCATTTCATTTTTATAGTCAAAGATTAGAGTTACTAGGAAAGGCTTCTTCCCGTCTCTGGGTCCCCAGTCCTCTTTTGAGTATCTTGAGTTCTTTGAGGACAGGAAGCCCGGATGCTTTCATTTCGCTCACTGGGGAGGAGCACAGCACCTGGCATAGAGCCATGTTTGAGGGACTGGGTTTTGAACGGAATGAAGGATCCTCGAACACAATGCCATGCTCTTCTCTGCCTTTGGCACTCCAGGACTCAGCGAAAGGAAAATATTGAATAATTGGGTGGAAACAAGTAGTGAGCTCTGACTCCACTTGGTTTTTACAATCCTGTGCGACCTTGATGAGTTTAGCTTTAATAATAACTGTATTTCCAAATCTCCCTGTGAAGTAAAGAATTTCTTGGGCTTTCATGTCCTGGAGAGATAACCCTTAGTCATAAATCCTTTTTCCTCTTGTGACTTAGTTTGAGCAGGAACGTTCACTCTCTCACTTGCTGTCCTTGTGGAGATCTCTTCTGATGATATAACACCTCTCTTTCTTGCTTCTTCAATTTATCTGATGACCTCATCTCTACGGACTTGCACTCTAACCCAAAGGCTGCCCCTCTCTGGTGATTCAACCAGTTGCTCCAAGCCAGAAAGATGGCTAATCTCCTTCAGTGACGTGTTCTGCCTTAGAAGCCTACTGCAGGGTTAGCTATGAGTCCGTTCCGATATGATGGCAATCTGTGTTGAACTGAGTCATTTGTCTTGTCATTTATATAGCAGAACACTCTGCCTGAAGACTCTGGTCACCTGACTGCCTGGGGGCTTGAAGGGAAGGGGGGCTGGCCTTTGAGAAATTCCTGACCTTGCACTTAGCTTTTGTAGTGTTCCCCCTAGTCTAGTCAAGGAGAGTGGCCATTGCTGGTAAATGTGATTATGTGAAAATTGCATGCCCAGAGGAATTTCATAGAATTGACTTTGAGGTCAAGAATTAAGGTAAAGCACATCAGGATGGATGGCGAAGAGATTGAGATTGTTCACAGCTTCAGTTTGCTCGGCTCCATAGTCAACACTCTTGGCACCAGCAGTCAGGAAATCAAAAAGTATATCGCGATGGGAAAGTCTGCCGTTAGGGACCTCTCTAAAGTACTCAGGAACAACGGTGTCTCTCTGGAGACTAAGGTGTACCTGATACAGGCCATGGTATTTGCAATCACTTGTTATGCATCAGATAGTTGGACAATGACTAGGGAGGACAAAAGGAGAGTGGATGCTTTTGAGCTGTGGTGCTGGAGAAGAGTACTGAATGTACCATGGACTGCCAGGAAAACAAACAGATTCATCTTGGAGAGGATTAAACCAAGCTACTCCTTGGAGGCAAGGATTCTGGGGCTTCGTCTGACATACTTTGGACATGTTGCCAGGAGGGACGGGTCCTTGGAGAGGAACATCATGCTTGGGAGGGTTGAGGGACAACGCAGGAGGGGAAGACCCTCTATGAGATGGATTGATTCGGTGACTGGGGTAATCGGGATGGGTGTGTCAGAGGCACTGCGGTTGGCGCAGGATAGAGCAGGGTTTAGGGCTGTTGTGCATAGGGTCGCTATGAGTCGAAAACAACTCGACGGCACATAACAACAACACAACAACTACATATCAAAGCCAAAGAGCTGACTCTTCACATAGTTGCTTTCAGAGCAACTTGTGTTTTCATCCCAAATGGAAGCCCATGTTTTAGAACTGAGATAATGACAATGCTGAGTGACCTCTGGTGGTCTAACCCACAGGTGTTGTCTCTCAGCTGGTTTGCACGTATCATCGGCTCATTGGGAGAAAGATGAGCTACCTCCTCCCATGCGATTCCCAGCCTCCATAAACCCACCAGAGGGCCACTTATGGGTCAGTTCTGACTCAATGGCAACAAGAGTTTGAGAGTGAGGAAATGCAATGGAGCACCGTCATAGTGAGAGTATGGAAAACATGATTGACCGCAGTATTCAAAGTGCACAATATGTGCAGCATTTTACTACTGAAGGAAATCATATTTATTCCCTGCACACCTAGTTTTTTGTGTACAGAATATTTTTCTCATCATAATTCTGTACATTAGGTGTCATTTTTAGATGAGGAATCTGAGGCTCAGAGAAGTCACGTAACTTGACAAGGTAACACAGACCATCAACTCTAATTAGAATGCAGGTCTGTCTGTTAACAGATCCTTTGTCTATGATGATTAAGTTTAAAGAAGGTGGTTAGATCTGGTAGAGTCCCTGGATGGTACAAAAGGTAATTGGATCACCATATACTAGAATCAACTGAATGGCACTTTTTCTTTGGTGTGAGTAATACCCTGGAATCAATTTATAATACGATGTCAGTGGCAATAATGATATTTTGGCTAATAAGATGTAGATAATTATCCTTTTGCTTTGAGGGTTTTGTTGATCTCACTTGACAATGGTTTCACAGAATGAAATGTTGGTAATGCTTCCATTTTAGTGCCGAGAAATGACACCAGCATTCCGAGCATTCCTGAAGAGGCATGATAAGACTGTTATTACCAAAATGCTGAGGTAAGACCTAAATGACAGTTCAGCAGGGCGCCCCAAAGGCAGGGCATTTCTTGACTTTCTTTTTTTGCCCTTCTCTGCTCTGTACAGCCTGCAGGAGCTGCTTTTGTACCCTTCTCAGCGATTTGAAGAATATATTAATCTGCTCTATGCTCTGAGGCTCCATACTCCTGCAGAACATGTTGACCGCGGGGACTTGACCATTGCAATCAACCGAATGAAACAATATAAAGGTTATATAGATCAGGTCGGTTGCTGATAAAAATCTGTGTCCTTCAGTAATGTTACAGTGCTGTTGTAGTAATCTTACTTACAGATCTTGAAAGTTTCCTCTCAGTATGGACTTAACTTCAAATCATTTTTCATCTTTTCCATGCCAAATAAAAAAGTTGTTTTCAGTGCTTTTGAGTACTAATTATATGTATTTAAAACCAAACCATGTTAGATGAGATGTTTTAAGACATTTATTCAATAAAACCAATCTAGAGACTAAGGTGTGCCTGACCCATGCCATGGTCTTCACAATTACTTGCTTTGCATCAGAGAGCTGGACAAAAACTAAAGATGACAGAAGAAAAATGGATGATTTTGAGCTGTGGTACTGGAGGAGAGTCTTGAACATATCATGGACTGACAAGAAACCAAACAAGTCTGTCTTGGAAAGGGCGAAACCAAGTTTCTCCTTGGAGGCTAGAATTTTGAAGCTCCATCTCACATATTTTAGGCATGTTGCCAGAAGGGACCAGTCCTTGGAAAAAGGACATCATGTTTGCACTGGTGGAGGGACAGCGCACGAGAGGAAGACCTTGGATGAGATGGGTTGACCCATAACTGGGACAATGGGGGTATTTATGTCAAAGTTAGTTAGACTGGCTCAGGAAAGAGCAGGCTTCAGAGCTGTTATACATAGGGTCACTAGGAGTTGCAGGTGACTCAATAGCACATAACAACAACATTCAATAAAACCACCACTTATCTGCCAATTTGCCATGCATCTGGCTATAATGATGGAAGCTATACCACTCGCATTTCAAATACCAGCAGGTTCACTTACAGTAGACAGATTTCAGTAGAGCTTCCAGATTAAGACAGTTTAGGAAGATTGAAAACCCTATAAAAAACAGCAGAACTTTTAAAACAAATATATATAATGCCAGAAAATGAGGCTCTCCTATTCGAAGTTTCTCCATCTGACTAGGGAAGAACTGGCTTCTCAAACGAGATTGTACTTTAATGCTGCTAGCAGACCTTCACATTTTGGTGTTGCATCCTCCAAATGAGGAGAAACAGCTACAAACATCTATTAACAATTGAATGTAGAGTATATGAATTCTGAATCTAGGATGATTAGAAGTTGCCTAAAAGGAAATAGAACATCCAAAGTACGATATTCTAGGCATCATTGGTGTGGTGTACTGTCATGTTATAACCAAATCAGTGGTTTTTCAGAGGCTATAAGGAGATTACACATCTTTCTTCAGGGAGCACCTGGTAGCTTCAGACCACATGCTTCTGGGTCTATGGTACAATTCCGTATCACTAAACCACAAAAGCCCTCTGTCCTAGGCATTAGTGAGCTAAAATGGGCTGGTGCCAACCATTTAGAATCCAATAATCATAATGGCCTACTTTGCTGGAAATGGCAAACTAAAGAGGAATGGTGGCATATTCTTCACAAAAACACATTTCAAGATCTTTCCTGAAGTATGGTACTGTCAGTGACACGAAAACCTACTACTCCGACTATTATTCACATACATGCATTGAAGTCAAAGAGAAAGAAAGTGAAATTTCTACCAGCCTCTACAGTCTGAAATTGATTGAACAACCGATCAGTATTCATCGATGATGACAACTGTATATTGGAACATCAAAGAAACTGTATTTGGAACATCAAAAAAACTGTATTTGGAACAACAAAGAGGAACTGATAGCTAGGAAATATGGCCTTTGTAATAGTTGCAAGGTTAAAGATTGCATGATAGAATTTTGTAGTACAGACTGCTGAAGGCATTATAAAAAAGGCTGTAGTCCTTGATGGAATACCCATTAAGTTGTTTCAACAAATAGATGCTGCCTTGGATGTGCTTAATAGTTTATTCCAAGAAATGTAGAAGACAGTTGACAACTAATTGGAAGAGATCTGTATTTGTACCCCTTTCAGGTACTGAACAGTCTCATTTGTATCACATGCAAGTAAAACTGTGCTGAATATTATTTTTAAATGGTTGTACATCCACAGGCAATGGCCAGAAAGTCAATCTGAATTAAGAAGAGGCCAAGGACTAAGGAATATCATTGCTGATGTCAAATGGATCTTGGTTGAAAGCAAAGAATACCAGAAAGATGTTTGGTTATGCTTTATTGATTATGCAAAAGCACTTTACTGAGTGAGTCACAGTAAATTACAGATAGCATTGAACAGAATGGAAATTTCTTAACACTTAATTGTGCTCATTCAGAACCTGTACGTTGTTGCCAGAATAGAGAGTAGGTGATGCAGGGACATCTGTGTATGACTTCTATTACCTTTACAAAGGGGAACAAGGGGAACAGCCCCCACCAGCAATATTCACAATGCAAAACCAATTCCCCTAGGCCGGTTAGGGTATTCACACTCCCATACCTAATTCCAAACAAATTCCAACACCAATTGTATTGCCCTACTGCTACATCTGAAATCTGTTGCAGTGGCCACAGACACTTGACAGAACCATTCTCAAGCTTATAAGTTCACTTATAAAGTTTATAACTTAGAAACTTCAAGTTTTTTTTCTTCTTTTTTTATTTTTTTTTTAATTATTAAATTTTATTCGTTTCAATGAACATTCACAGGGATTCTGGGCTTTCACTCCTTCATT